TAATAGTAGCTGAATCTAATATAATATTCAACTTATCTGAAGCGCAAAAATAGAACAGTGTTATCGATGGATATACATTATCATGTTATTACGTAATCGCTCATTACCGAAATCAACAATCAATTTATGAGAACAGCTGTAATAAATTTGAAACGATGCCCCATTTTCTCTTGGCAGTACTCGAATTATTTCGGCTTTATACATTATTATTGCTTGATCAAAGAACTTTATCACATGAAAATATAATAATAGGGTTCACCGATAATAGTCTACTATACATAGCATTTATTTCATCTTTAACATTCATTTACTTCTTATAACGTTCGTTTACTTTCTTGTTGGACTATAATCTAACTTATCGGTCGAGTCTTTAGTAGATGAATAATCAGTTATCATCTACGACCCGACTGATAACTAGTATGTAATCTAAACTATGTTCGCCCTCTCTTGTTGAGCTGTAACTAACGTAAATGAAACAGATTTAATCTTGTGTTAATGGATATGGAAGAGTTTCGATGTTTCAAATAAATTTCTGAATTCTTAACTGATGATTTCATTCATTTTTTTACACCATTTGACCCATTTTTATTGACTGCCTTAAAAAGATTCGCGTCGATTTTAATCAATATGACGTGGCATGCACATTATGTTCGAATATGTATTTGGAAAAATGAATTACTAATTTCTGATATAAACCTTTAGAATAAATGTTAGCTGTTGGAGGTATCTTTGTCACTGGGTATAGTTCTTGACTATTGAGAATCAAATGTAGATTAGCCAGTGCGATTTTGAGATGAAAAACAGTAAAAAAAATTCGATGTGCGCATGTGTGGGATCGCACATGAAATTTTCTTATATGAAGTAAGCATGAGATCTGGATATCCGATATAAACGAATAATGGGTAGTTACAATTAATTAAAATATTGATTGCAATTGAAGCTTGAGCAAACATCTCTATCAGTATTACCATTTAACGATTATTGTTTTACAAATCGAAATAATAATAATAATAATGAAAACTATGGATCAACGAAAGGATAAAGTAATCAACGACACTTTCAAATTCTGTTTCTTCTTTTTCAGAATTTACTACAAACTAACAGAACACAAAAATGTGCCTTTTTTATTTGCGGCGAAGTTTTTAGCATAAGTAATAATGTAATAATTAATCGACGTTGGTAAGATCCATAACGATAATGATAATGTAAAAAAAGGGAAGTACTTGAATAATTATTTTTTCTAATCAATCAATGAAAAATTCGACCAATAAGCGCAACTCTGATAAAAAAAGGGCGTTTTTGTCTCTATCTCTTATTTATTGGAATGATAAATATCCTTAATCGGTTAAACGAACTTCCGCTAATAAAATTTTTTCTTTTTGACGTATTAAACTTTCATCACGTGTTTTATTCATTGGAATAATCAATACAATTGATTCGTTAACCTATTTTTTTTACTAATAAAAATTTACCCGATTGTGGTGCTTGAGAACACCCATAATATGTTCAATTTTTTAACACACTAGCTTTATAAATTTTCACATTATTTTTAAATTTGTATAGACTTTTTTTTTTTATCGATTCTGGTGCAATCCAATGTTATTCATTGGTAATTATCACTTACTTTTTATAATATTATTTATCACTTAGTATAATAAATATTCTAATAAAATAGGATGCGACAATTACCTTTTATGCAGGTTGATGATCGTATAGTCATATAGTTAAACATCGAAATTATAAGATCAGATCCTGAAACAAGGTTTGCCGAGTTGTACAAACTTAACAATATAAATATGTACTGCAAGTTTGTACATATGAAAATCTTCTAACTCGTATATCTGATATACGTACAATACGTACGTTCGTATGTTAAAGACGGATTGAATTTTTTAAAAATGGATAAAATAAAAAAATGTAAGAATTATATAATTAAGTCAGAATTCAAAAAGCTTTATATGCGCCTAAAAAAAATTTTTTTTTCACAAATTTATACATACGTATATCTAGATATTATAATAAAGAATGAAAATGGTGCATTTTCGATCAAAAACCGTGAAGTTAATTATTGCATGATAGATGAAAATGAAATATTACTTACCGAATTAAACCAATTACTGGAAACGGAACCAGATAATGCAATTGAACTAGAAAACCGTGGATTAATTTATCTTTCAATGGACAGATATAAAGAATCGCTTGTTGACTTGAACAAATCATTGGAAATTAGGCCAAATGATGAATTTACATTAAGTTATCGTGGGATAGTTTATTGCATGATAGGTAAATTTGAAGAATCACTTGCAGATTTGAACAAATCACTTGAAATCGATCCGAATAATGCATTTACATTAAGTTATCGTGGTGTAACTTATTACGAAATGGATATGTACGAAAAATCGCTTGCAGATTTCAATGAATCATTAAAAATTGGTCCAGATAACTTAACGACCTTAAGCGATCGTGGTGCAACTTATCGCATGATAGGCTTATATAAAGAATCACTTGCAGATTTAAATAGGTCATTAGAAATTGATCCTAATAGTGCATCAACATTAAGAAGTCGAGGATTAACTCATTACATGATGGGAAATTATAATGAATCATTGGTAGATATAACAAAATCATTAGAAATTGAACCAATTAATACTTTTGCACTGCGAAATAGGGGAAAAATATATCGCAAACTAGGCAGGTTTGAAGAAATGCTTAAAGATTTAATCGAAGCATCAGAGATTGAATCAAATAACGCATGGATAATATCAAGTGATAAAGTCTATCGAACGATTAGCAGGTATGAAAGGATACTTTCGGATTTTACTAAATTATTGAAAATTGAACCAAATAGTGCATTTGAATTAAAAAACCGAGGAGCAACTTGTCGTGTATTAGGATGGCTCATAAATAGTAAATGGTTATTAAGTCAAGAAGAAATCTATTTAAGAAAGGATCGATATGAAGAAGCAATTGCAGATTTAAATAAGTCATTAAAAATCGATCCTAATAACGCTGATACATTGAGAATTCGAGGTGAAACACATTATATGATGGAAAATTTTAATGAAGCACTTGTAGATTTAAATAGGTCATTAAAAATCGATCCAATTAATGCATATGCGCTGAGATTTAGAGGAGCAACCTATCGCATGATGTCTAAATATAAAGAATCAATTGAAGATTTAAACAAGTCATTAGAAATCAGACCAAATACTGCATTAACTCTGAGACAACGTGGATGTACATATAGTTTAATGAGAAAATATAAAGAATCTCTTGAAAACCTTAACCAATCAATAGATATTGAACCAAATTATGCAAGTGCGTTGAGTGATCGTGGAGCAACTTATCGCTTGATTGACAAATACGATGAATCTCTTGTAGATTTAAATAGATCATTGGAAATTGAACCAAATGATGCATGGACATTAAGATATCGTGGTGATGTTTATCGTATGACGAACAAATATGAAGAATCACTTGTAGATTTCAACAAATCATTGGAAATTAAACCAAATGATGCATGTACGTTAAGATACCGCGGAGCAACTTATCTTATGATGAACAGAAAAAAAGAATCGTTAGAGGATTTAAACAAATCATTAGAACTTGAACCAAATAATGCATTCGCTTTAAGTAATCGTGGTGAAACCTATCGCGTAATGGGTAAATATAAAGAATCACTTGCTGATTTCAACAAATCATTAGGAATTGAACCAAATGATGCATGGACATTAAGATATCGTGGAGAAACCTATCGAATGATGGATGGATTTGAAGAAGAGTCATTTGCAGATTTCAAAAGATCTTTAGAAATTGAGCCATGGCACTAGAAGTCATATAAATACGAAGTGCTAAATTATTAAATTACTAGAAAGTATATATCAGATCTGCCTATTAAATACTATCAGTTAGCGTTTGGTTCTAATGAATCTGCATACATAATTACAGTTTGTTTTTTTGTTTTTTTTTGCTTTTTTTTTAAAGTCAAAACTGTATGATTTACTGAATAATTTTTCCTAGCAAAATCAATGAACAATTATTATATTCATAATTTATCAAATTAAATATTTATCATTAAATGAACCTTTTGGCTTTGTTATAGTTCATTATTAAATAAATATTAGTTCGTGAATAAGATCAGTGACGTTTTTTATTTAGGTTTGATTTGAAACCAACTAGCTTAAAGGCGAACCGAACAATATTCAAATTAATAATGTAATAAAGCATTTCCTGTATAGTAAGCTGCAAATACATCTACGTTAAATAAATTATTATTGCATTTTATGTACTGTATATTACAGTACATGATTTTAAATAACTAAAAATCAATTTGTAAGTAAATACTAAAGAAAAAACTACAATCGTTAACACTAAAAATGTTCATGTCGCGAGATAAATCCAGCACAAATTTTTAATATCGAACTGTCACAAAATTTGAGCGAGACATGTGATGTCATCCGCGCAAGTCACGCGAAATCGCGAATGCGTTAATCGCGAGAGATACATCTTTGTCAACAATAACTTACTATCGCTATACATAATAAAAATATAATAATAAATTACAGTTTTATAGCTTATCAAATATGATTTTTATCAAGAAAATTATTATGTTTGTCACAATATGAATTTTACTTTAAGAATACATTTATTCAGTGTAGAAATGTATGACAAGTTAATTTATTCAAAATACAGAACTAACGCTAACATATTTGTTGTTTACCCTATTAGTTTAATTGATTGTTACTGTTTTATTTGCTAAAGCAGGTAAAAATTTAATTATCCAAAGATCCCAAAATTTACTCGTTTTAACTTATTTATCTTTTTTATACGATCCGTCTTCAGAAAACTCATTACGATTGATGTCACTTAATACTTCGCGACATTCCACGAATCTTTTCCTTCTTGTTTCCAATCTCGCTAAAAGATTTCACAGAACTAGTATCTTTGAGCTAAGCCATTATTTTCAAAAGATGAACGATAAACATGTTCACTCGATGGATTCAGTAGCTAGCAAAGGCCATAGCTATCTTCATATCATTCACTGGTTCATTACTTTCACTCTCAGCTTCAACAACTTCATCGGGTTTATTATCTCCACTCGCAGTTTTAACAACTGTGCTGATTCGACTTCCACTCTGAAAGTGCTACCGTCAGTGAAATAAGGAAATTCCTTTTCATCGACAATTAACAAAATTTAACCACCTTTTTTGTAACCTTTTGGAACCTCGGACAGGCTCATGTGATGAGTAAAAATATTAGTGAATATATTATTTTCACACATTATTGGATAGTAGTATCTCTTTTTATTATTAAACATGTGATGTTAAGTATTAATATAATAATCGAAGTAACGATAAATCCTTATTCAATACTTACCGATAATTTCCACTGTGCGATTAAATGATGTAAATAAATAAATAAATATTAATAGGTCTCTGAATTCTAATGCAAAAATTTAAGATATCTATATTGCACAGTTTTCAAATCGCGATTTGACTGGCTGGACAACTTCTGCGCACAATTTTCTGCTATTTTTTTTTGCACGTACGTAGTACATTTACATGAGAATACAGCTTATATTGCGTACACGTAGCAATAGGATGTTCAACACTCTAATAAATCAAACAATAGTTAGGGTACATATGTTCGGATTTTTTAAAGGTTGATTTCATACGAATTTATATATGAATTCGCGTTGATTTGGGTGCATTCTTTTACTAACTTACAGATAAGATTACGTTGTATTTTTTTTTTTTTTAAACCGTAGTTCTAGACAAGCTCTGCACCTTTTTGCAATAATTTTTGTTAGTTTCCATAAAATTAGAACAAAATTTCTTGAAAATTATTGCAAAACTGACTCTATTACATTATAGAGCTAGTCTAGAACCATGATTTAAAAAAAAAAAAATATGACGCAATTTTGTCTGTTGGGTAAAAAAATGTATCCAAATCAGGCGAATTCATATATAAATTCGTATGTGAAATCAACCTTTAAAAAATCCGAACGTATGTATCCTAACTATTTTGTTTGATTTATTAGAGTATTAAACATCCTAACGCAGCAAGTGAAATGAAATTTTAACCGTAGAGAGAATAAAAAAAACAACTTTTTATTAAAGGCAAAAAAAAAAAAAAAAGAAAAGAAAAAGAAACAGCTGACTACATCACAAAGTTGTTTTTATAAAGTTTAAGTAGCTCTATAAAGTTATATAAATGTTATTTAAAATTTTATATAAGTGTGTTTACAAACCCAATGTAGACTTATAGATTCAGATCGTTAGGTGAGGTGCGTAAACTATTGATCTATCATCTAAACTGCAATCTGACGAAAGTAAGAGAGTAAATTAAATTGAATAAAAGATTTTTGACTTGGGCGCTTTTTTTATTCTTGCTTTCCTGAATCTCTTCGGCGTTTTTCTTACTGGTAGCATTTTTTACTTTAAATCACTTTGGTGTCTTTTTTAACTCCAATAACATTCTATATCTTTGAATCATTTTGGCGTCGTCTTACTTCCAGTAGCACTTTTTTACATTAAGCCTCTTCAGCACCTCCATTCTTTTTTTTAAATTTCTTTGCCCAAATTTTCGTGACACATTCTATTTCCAATTAATATGTACTTTTTTTTCTATACGTACAGTTTTTTTTTTTGCCCAAATTTTCATTGCATACTCTTCTTGTTTAAGTCTTCTCAGCACGTTCAACTTCAATAATATTTTTTATTCTATACATGTTTTTTTTTCTGTGCGTAATGACCGATCGATAGGTTACGCACCCCATCTAACAATCTACAGTACTAGTGATGCGGTAGAATCAAGTCCCAATGAATTTTTGAGATACGGCAAATTGAGTTACGGCTTATTTGTAGCTTAATAAAAAGTTACGCCACGCCGTAACTTTTCATATCAAAAAATCCATTGGGACTTCATTGGGACGACTCTACCGCATCACTACAATCTACACCCGAGGCGCGTCAGCTGTGATCCGAGGCAAGCGTTAGTCTGAGGCACAACATTTATATCTATATAAAAATACCTTTTTTTATGAGATTACTAGGTAAAATGCTACATGAATCTACATAATATTATGTGACTAAACATAATATTTTACAATTATTTTATGAATTCTACGGACCTTCAATAATACTACACAAAAAGAAGCATAAATTTATATGAATTGTTTAGTGACTTTACGCTTATATAAATTTATATCAAACAATTACATAATATTATTGTCATTTATGCAATGCTACGTAAATATATGGACTTTCGAAGTTCGCGATGCTAATTTACTTTGGCTATTTCTCAAGAGTGGCTAAGGAAATTAATGTTTGATATACTAAGTAAAAATGTTTAGAATGCTAGAAAACTTTCTCCAAACCCCTAATTTACGCTTTCTAGCTTTAAGTTAAAAATTTTTGTTATTTTACACAATTCTACTTAGAAATATATATATATTTATATAAATAGCCACGTAATTCTACATTGGTTTATAAAGTTTTATAAAGCTACATAAAAATTTTACATAATTCTACATAAAAATTCTACATAATTCTATATAAAAACAACTTTGTGATGTACGCGTCTGGAGTTGCAGACATTAGAATATCAACTAACATATGACAGAGACGTATAGAAGTCACACCTAAATTTTTATATGACGTGAGGTGACGTGAAGAGGTAGTTGCCAAATGTTTGCATCTACAGTATATATGCGCCTAGAAGAATTACAAATACGTATACAATATTGGGCAGACGATGATGTTATCCGTCAGTTATATATGACCATGTGATGCTTTTTCATGTGATATTTTTGCATAAATGATTATATAACTTCATGCAAAAAATAACATGCCAAAAAAATTCACATGATCATTTAAATGCCGGATAACATAACAAACATGATTTTTAGACATAAATACTGTGTATGATCCAATGCAAATTTGCCTCTGATTTTGCAATTTTCAATTTTCATTTTAGGATATTTTTTATTGGAATGAAATGATAATAATCACTGATCGTCAACCAATTTGAACATGTGTACAAAGCTTTTCGCTTCTAAATACATAGTGATCATCGTATTGTACTGTACTCTGGTACGTATGTACTGAATGTACATTTCATAGATAGGATATACAAACTTTATTGTACGTACGTACGTGCTTATGTGACAACCCGGCACGGGATTGTTACGTCAGACACCGGGTATATGGTTACACACACGGGTTCATATTTAACTATAAATTACTCAATTAGTATAGTGATCAAAATAGATAACCACTTCCCCCATAACCATTTTCCCGACAACCATTTCACCGACGATCACTTCTTCGGCATGATCATTTCCCAACAATCGTCATGTTGGAAAATGGGTACTTCACGAATTTTTTTTAGGTGAAATGCTACATGAATCTACATAGTCTTATGTGACTAAACATAATATATTACAAATATTTTGTGAATTCTGCGAACCTTTAGTAATACTACACAAAAAGATTATATAAATTGTTAAGTGACTTTACGCTTACATAAAATTATATCAAACAATTACATTATATTATCGCCATTTATGTAATGCTACGTGAATATATGGACCTTCGAAGTTTGTGATGTAATTGTCGGTAACTTTACGAACTTTTTTTTTTATAAGATTACTAGGTAATATGCTACATGAATCTACATAATCTTATGTGACTAAACATAATATATATCTTAAAATATTTTATGAATTCTACGGACCTTCAGTAATGCTACATAAAAGGAAGCATAAATTTATATAAATTGTTGAGTGACTTTACGCTTACATAAATTTATATCAATATATAATATTATTGTTTATTTATGTAATGCTACGTGAATATATGGATCTTCGAAGTACCATCAAAATATCTATTACAAGTTTAGACAAGACTAATATTTATAATTAATATTTTGTATATAAATTTTCTGAAAATCATGTTATAAGAACCATATATCAGCACGAATAGAAATTAATAATAGATACATAGATTATTTCAAATATTTTGATTAATAAATAATATTGACTGAATCAACATGAATAAAAGATTATTTATCGACCAAGTCAGCACGGACTAATGTTCTGACCCGGGTTGAATTATGACCACCCGGGTGGTCAACCCGCGGGTCACCCATGGGTCACCCACTAGCAGAATTGCCAATTGACCTGATTGTGGCCTAAACATGTTCCAGTCATGACTTTTAAATCCACATCTACATCACAATACAGCTTGAGTCGGATACTCGGTAGATAATAACTCTAATTAAGCTTCCCAAGCTCATGAAGATTTACTATGTATTTAGTACGTGAGTATAAAAAGTATCTACTGTATATTTATATTAATTTAGTATTTAATCAAGATATCACGCCCATGAATATTTAAAAATCATTTCGTTCATTTTATTTGCATTAATTTAGTGCACGAGCATAAAGAACATTTATAAATCTAAGTTTTCAAAATAAAGTTATTAATGCCTATGATTATTTACTATTAGTTTATTTTAATTTAATGCTCAATAAAATATTCAAAGTAATTTCAGCTTTATTTATTATTCATAATTTGATTTAGTTGTAATAATGAGCATTATGCTATCCAAGTTCATAATATTTACCATTATACGCATGAATTTAGTGTATAAGTATGATAATATAAGCATTAAAATAAGATATCAAAGTTCATGAATATTTACTACTTAATTTCATTCTATTTAGTGCATAGCATAAAGAACATTCATTAGTATAAGCTTCGTATTCATGAATATTTACTATTTAATTTTATCATACGTATTAATTTAGCGCATTAATCCGAGTATTTAAATAAGCTACTCAATCGCATAAATCTGTTGCAGACTTTCCTCTTACCACCCGCGGGTAACCCGGGTTAAAATTTTTGTGACTGGTCGAAAACTTGCACGGACAATAAGTTATAAACTAATAAACATAGTTCAATAAATTATTTTATACTCTCTAGCTAAAATTAAACTAAATAAGTGACTTAAAGTGACAGATAATTTTGATTGGACCCGGTGGGTTACCCGAGTTGAGTTGCAGTAATTGCATTTACTAACTTCATTCACTTTCGGATGTTCTATAGAATAGATGGGCAAACTCCGCTAAGTATCTATTAATGATTACTAATCATTAACGAAGCTTATTTCTTACCTATTCTATAGAACATCCCAAGTTTCTATGGTTTTCCTTTAAAATCTATGTGTAAAGCTCCACACATTTTCTTTTTCGTATTAGAACGTCCCGTCTTGCAAAAT